CTGGCAGCTGCCTGGCCTCCGTCAGCTAGTCGAGTGCAGCAGCGCCTTGCAGTTGTTTACAGTTGCATTCAATCAGTGTTGTTGGGGGGCTCCCTACCGTAAGCCCACAAGGCTGCTGACCAACCTCACTCCTTTGCGCAAGTGGGGGCCCACTGCATGGCCCACTTTCGATGACCAGATGGTCTACACAGGCCCCGCTGTGAATCTTTGTTCGTGTCAGCCTTCAGTCTCCTTGGCACGGACCCCCGATGACCTCTCCTTTCGCACCACAGTGACCTCTATTTATCCTGAAGCTATGGACAGAGCCATAGCCGAAGCCATTGTGCATCATTTGTCTTAAGCTCCCTCTTCAGCTAAAGAAGGGGGAGGGGGAAGGAAGAGAGAGCTGTCGACTACATTGTTGAGGGATTCAAAGGGCAATGAAGAGGCGCTCAAAGCAAGGCGAGTTGGTGCAACATTGAGCAATACAGAGGGTGCAGCATTGCGCAAGACAACATTGGACAGTGCAACTTTGAACAAGTCGAGTACGACGTTGAGCAATACAGAGGGTGCAGCATTGTGCAAGACAACATGGAACAGAGCAACATTGAACAAGTTTAGCGGGGCAGCAGTGAGCAAGGCAGCAGTGGACACCACGGGCAGGCTCAGCAACAGGCCAGGCGTGGGGCCACCCATGCAGGTCAAGTACAAAGGAGAGCTCAGATCTTTGCATGATGGAGCAGGACTTTGCTCCCCGGGCAGATGGCCGGTGGGGAGGAGGACAGCCCCGGCGACGGAGCTGGGGCGCGAGCTGGCGCGTTGGTGCTTGAAGGCCTTTGGGGATTGGGTAGAGCTTGAAGGCGAGGAGCGGGCCAAGGCCCTTTTCTGGAGCACGGCGGGCGGCAAACATGGCGGCACGCCATTCGGGGGAGAGATATACGGCTTCCGCGAAAGGCTGGACCTCTGGCTGAAGGAACGGGGCTTGAATCCCTACAGGCAAAAGGATGACAGGGCCACCGAGATCAACTTCAGGAGGCTCAGAGCGGTGGCTACGGCATTGTCTGACGAGGACGTCGAGTTTCTAGACGAAGTGGCGGCGACGGGTGTCATGCTGGGGGTCGATGAAGAGATGCCCAGAAACCCAGCTGTGTACGAGGAAAAGACGAAGTGGACAGTGGAGCAGACGGAGGAGGACTTCCAGGACATGTTCGCGGACAACTACGTCTCGGCAGAGGAGAATGCTGCAGATATAGCCCGTCAGGTGCTGGAGGAGGTGGAGAACGGCACGATTCTCAGGTTGCCAGAGTCGGAAGCCAAACGACGTTTTGCTGGCAGGCTGGCGGTGGCTGCGCTCGGAGCAGTTCCGAAAGAGCTGGGCACCAGCAGGGTGCGACTCATTCACGACGGCACCTATACAGCGTGGATGTCAATAAGCGCATTCGAGTGCGCGATCGGATGAGGTTCCCCTTGATCGATGACGCGGCAGCCGTGCTTAGGCAGGTGGAAGAGGAGAAGGTTGAGAAGCACGAAGTCGTCAGGCTCTCCGTACTGTACGACATTGCCAGGGCTCACAAGCTGATTCCGGTGAGAGAAAAGGATTGGGGCCTGCAGGCGTTCAGACTTCCGGGGGAGACCTCGGGAGACGTTTATGTCCACACTCGGGGGACATTTGGTGTGGCTAGTGCGGCCTACTGGTTTGGACGAGCGATCGGTGTGGTCGTTCGGTCCTGTCACAAGATCATGGGGCGGCACATGGGCTTGCTTCATTTGATATACGCAGACGATGGCTGGCTCACCGCAACAGGCAGCAACTTTTGGAAGAAGATCTTGATGTGGCTCTTCTTGTACGAGTTGTTGGAGATCCCAATCACCTGGAAGAAGGTGAGGGGAGGCGCAGCAGTGGACTGGATAGGCTATCACCTCAACGTGGCCACCTTTGAGAGAGGCATCAACGAGTCAAAGAAGGTCTGGATCTTGAAGTGGATCGGGGACAAGTTGATGCAGGGCGGTGTCTTGGGCCGAGAGCTAAAGTCGGTTCTCGGCAGGCTATCCTTCGTGGCCGGAGCGCTGAGACATGTTCGGCCATTTCTGGCGCCGTTGTTCTCGTGGTCGGCCACGCTTGCGGGGGGCACCTTTTCAAACTTCCCTGATGCGGTGGTTATCCTGCTTGAGTATGTCAAGGAGGAAGTGTCGAGGAAACCGGTCCGCCGGTTGGAGCCACTGCTAACCTCACCTGTCGATATATTCCGGGTGGACGCAAAGGCTGCCGGGGAAGAGATCGTCATAGGCGGCTGGGAGACTTGGAAAGCGTCTTCACAGAAGGACGCCAGATGGTTTTCTTTCAGGTTGAACCGAAAGACGGCCCCATGGGCATACCTACGTGGTGATCCTTTCCGTGCAATCGCAAGTCTTGAGCTGGTGGGCGTGTTGGCAGCGGTGATGGTGTTCGCACCGGGCTCAGATTGGGCCGAGGGCGACGCAGTTGTTACGTTGAGTGCATTGACAGACAACCTTGGCAACACCCACGTCCTGAAGAAGTACGGTAGCAGTCGGTATCCTCTCAGTATTATCGCCATGGAGTTGGCGACGCAGCTTGATAGGAAGGGGGTCGATCTGGACCTTCAATGGGTGCCGAGATGGCAGAACCAGGAGGCAGATGATTTGACCAATGAGTGTTTCGACGACTTCACCGAATCCAACAGGATAGAGGTACGGTTTGAGGAGCTGAAGTTTCTGGTCATGGACCGCTTGCTTGAGAAAGCTGGAGAGCTCGATAAAGAGTTGAAGCTCTACAAGACTTCAAAGGAGGCGAAGATGGCAACCAGGACGCCAGAGGATGGGCCTAAGAAGGCCAAGAAAGGTCAGCTTCGTTGGCAAGATCCTTGGTGACGAAGGCGCGGGGTCGAAAATGTCGTCGGCTTCTCCTCACGTGTTAAAGTAGTCAGGAGGGTGGGGAATGTGCGGTCCTGACTAGTAGGCTAAAGTGGGGGGAAAGACTAGTGAGACCATGGCATAGTAGCTCTACGGAAGGTA